GTACCTTCCACTGTTGCTGCCATGTCTTCCAGCTCCAGAGCTGCCTTCAGCTCCAGAGCTGTACCCTTCCCCTCCCGTGCTTCCAGCCCATCCTGAGCTGCCCCCCCTACCTCCAGGGCTGTATCCTCCTGCTCCAGAGTCATATCGGCCACTACTGCAGGTGCCCATCTCTCCAGAGCTGCTTCTGCCCCCAGAACTGTATCCTCCTCCTCCACAACTGTATCCGACTTGGCTAGAACTGCCCCCGGCTCCAGAGCCATAGCCCCAGGCTCCAGGGCCGTATCTGCCACTTCCACAGCTCGCTCTCCCTCCCAAGATGCTCCAACCTCTTGAGGTGTATCCTTCTCCCCCAGAGCTGTATCTTCCCCCTCCTCCACTGCTGCCTCCAATTCTAGAGCTGCCTCCTACTCCAGAGCCGTATCTTCCTCCAGAGCTGCCTCCTTCTCCAGAGCAGTACCCTCCACTTCCAGAACGGCCTCCTCCTACAGAGCCATATCGGCCACTGCTGCAGCTGCCTGCCTCTCCGCAGCTGCCTCCCCCACCCCCAGGGCTGCCTCTGACTCCAAAGCCATAATCCTCTCCTTCGCAAGTGCTGACCCCAGCTCCAGAGCCATAGCCACCAGGCCCAGAGCTATAGCCACCACTTCCAGAATAGTCTCTACCGATGGAGCCAAATCCACCGCTTCCACAACCGACTCCCTCTCCAGAGCTGCCTCCCACATCTCCAGAGCTGCCTGTGCCTCCAGTGCTGTATCCACCACCTCCAGAGGCCCCTGCTCCGCTATTGCCTCCAAGTCCAGAGCCAGAACCGGCAACTTCACAGCTGCCTCCGTGTCCAGAGCCATAATCCCCGGCTCCAATGCTTCCAGAATAGCCTCTTCCTACAGAGCCATGCCCACTGCTTCCGCAAGGGCCGATCCCCCCGGAGCTGCTTTCCCCCACTCCTGAGCTGTATCCTGTGCCGCCCAAGCTTCCCCCTCCGACACTGCCACTTCCAACTTCACAGCTGCCTCCAGTTCCAGAGCCATATCCTCTGCCCCCAGGGATGCCTCCAGTTGTGGAGCCACCTACCTCTCCAGAGCTGTATCCCCCCACCCCTGAGCCCCTCCAGAGTAGCCTCCTCCTCCACAGATTCCAGAGTCATCCCCCCCACCACTAATGCTACGCTCCCCCCGAGAACTGGACCCCCCAGCTCCAGAGCTGTATCCCCCACCACTAATGCTACACACTCTGACAGAACTGGAGCCTACGGCTCCAGAGCTGTATCCGCCACTTCTAGAGCCATATCCTCCACTTCCTCCCCCTCCAGAGCCATATCCCCCAGCACCAATGCTGCATACATCTCCAGAACTCAATCTACCAGTTTCAGAGTCATGCTCTCCACTTCCAGAGCCATATCCTCCACTTCCTCCCCCTCCAGAGCCATATCCCCCACCACTGATGCTACACGCATCTCCAGAACAAAATCCATCAGCTCCAGGGCTCCTACCACTGATGCTGCACACGTCTCCACAACTCAGTCTACCCGCTTCAGAGTCATATGCTCCATTTCCAGAGCTGTATTCTTCACTTCTTTCTGCTCCAGAGTTGTACCCCCTGCCACTGATCCTGCAGACATCTCCAGAAATCAATCTACCTGCTCCAGAGTCATCTGCTCCACTTCCAGAGCCATATTCTCCGCTGTCTCCCCCTCCAGAGCCATATCCCCCACCACTGATCCTGCAGACATCTCCACTACTCAATCTCCCAGCTCCAGAGTCATATGCTCCACTTCCAGAGCCATATCCTCCACTTCCTCCCACTCCAGAGTCATATCCACCAACACTTATGCTGCAAACATCTCCAGAACTCAATCTCCCAGCTCCAGAGTCATATCCTCCACTTCCTCCCCCTCCAGAGCCATATCCACCACTGGTGTCCACTACATCACCACAACTCAATCTCCCAGCTCCAGAGTCATATCCTCCACTTCCTCCCCCTCCAGAGCCATATCCCCCACCACTGGTGCTACACACATCTCCAGAACTTAATCCACCAGCTCCAGAGTCATACTCTCCACTTCCAGAGACATATCCCCCACCACCAGAGCTGCACACACCTCCAGAAGTGGATCCCCCAGCTCCAGAGCTGTATCCTCCACTTCCACAGCTGTATCCTCTGCCACCAGGGCTACCTCCAGCTCCAGATCCATATCCCCCAGTTCCAGAGCCGTATCCTCCACTTCCAGAATAGCTGCCCCTTATAGAGCCATATCCACCACTTCCACAACTGTATCCACCTCCGCTAAAACTGCCCCCAGCTCCAGAGCCATAGCCCCCAGGTCCTATCCCACCTGAGCTGCCTCCAGTCCTCCCTATACCTCCTGATCTGAGTCCTCCACCTCCAGAGCTACCTCCCGCTCCAGGGCTGTAAGTGCTGCTGGCACAGCCACCAATCCTGCTGGAGCTGTATCCTCTCTCTCCAGAGCCACCTCCACCACCGGAGCCATAGCCACCACTTCCAAAACGGCTCCCTCCTCCAGAGCCAGAGCTGCCACTGCTGCAATGTCCTATGGCTCCAGGCGTGTTTGTACTTCCAGACGTGTGTCCTCCACTTCCACCGCTGCATCCCCCTCCACTAGAGCTGCCCCCTGCTCCAGAGCTACTCCCCACCACTCTCGAGCTGTGGACACCGCTTCCACAAATGTCTACCACACCTCCAGAGCTCCCTCCAACTCCTGAGCTGCATCTTTCCATCCCAGAGCTAGCGCCAGCCCCAGCGCTGTATGCTCCCCCTCCGCTCCCACAGCCAGTGCTGCATTCATCACTTCCTATGTTGACCGAGCTATGGCCTCTGGCTCCAGAGATGTATCCCACACTTCCTGAGTGACCTCCTCCTATGGAGGCATCGCCACCACAGCTGCCCTCACCTCCTGAGATGCTTGAAACTCCACAGCCATATCCTCTACCGCCGAAGCTGTATCTCTCCCCACTCAAGCTGCCCCCAGCTCCAGAGCCATATCCTCCACATCCACAACTACCTACCCCGCCTGAGCTGCTCCCACCAACAGGAATAGGAATGACTGTGACTCCGGAGTCATACCCTCCCCCACCAGAGACACATCCACCGCCTCCAGCATGGTCCCATCCTGCAGGACCATAGGGGCCAGTGCTGCAACTAACACTTGCTCCAGAGCTACTCCCTTCACCAGAGATGATTGCACCTCCAGAGCCATATTCTCTGCCCCCGCAGCCATACCCCACTCCACTAGAATAGCCCCCTGCTCCAGAGCTATACCCATCACTGACTCCAGCTCCAGGTCCATCACCTCCAATGACACAGCAATCTCTGCCTCGGGACCAACCACTTCCTCCAGATCCAGACACTCCATCTCTTGCAGTGCATTCTCCACCTTCAGCACGTCCCCCAGTCCATCCACTGCTAATCTGAATGCCAGAAGTGCCAGTCCTTCTGGATCCGTATCCACCAAAGACACAGCAGTTTCTGCCGCTGGACCTGCCTCCTCTTCGAGAACCAAACCTTGTACCTCCTGAGCTGTATCCTTCACATCCAGAGCTGCCTCCATCCCATTTGCTGCTGACTGCAACTCCAGAGTGACCTCCAACTCCAGAGCCATAACCTCCGACAACACAGCAGTCACTTTTCCCATAGCCATATCTTCCATCACCAAAGCTGCATTCCCCTCCAGAGATGAACCCTCCACCTCCAGCTTGGCTTCCTCCTACAGAGCCATGCCCACCACCGCCACTTTCACAGCTTCCTCCCATGCCGAAGATACCTCCCACACCTCCAGAGCAGCTTCCTCCAAAGCTCGGTTCTCCACCTCTACTAATACAGACTTTGACATTTCCTCCTTCACTCCTGGAGCTAAATCCCCCTCCTTTGCTACCTCCATAGTTAGGTGGGCTGCACCTGATGTTCCTAGAGTAGTGCCCCCCACTTCTGGAACTGAATCCCCTTCTGATTGAGCAGTGGCCTCCCACTATGCCCCAATTTCTCCCACCTCCCCATCCACAATGCCCCCCTCTGAATCCACCATATCCCCCCCAGCACCATGGGAAGCCTCCATATCTTCCACCAGCACTGCCGCTGACCCAGGTGCCATGGTTGATGACAGCTGTAAGAAAAGACAAAGAAAACGGTTGTTTTAATGGCAACCTGGGAAGATCAGAGCAAGCCAAACTCTCATCTTCCTTGCAACAAAGTTAAGTGAAGCTTCAAGTTACTTACGTATTGGTCCAGGTAATCCTTCAGTTATCCTGT